ATATTGGTTTTAAAAATAGGTTAAGTATGAAAACATCTCTTCAACATTTTCATGTCTCTACCCATGCAATTCTTTATTAGAAATATCAGTTTGGGGCCAGGTGCGGTGGCTCACGCCTGTAATCCTAGCACTCTGGGAGACTGAGGTGGAGGGTCACTCAAGGTCAGGAGTTCAAGACCAGCCTGAGCAAGTGAGACCCCGTCTCTACTAAAAATAGAAAGAAATTATCTGGACAACTAAAAATATACGGAAAAAATTAGCTGGGCATGGTGGCACATGACTGTAGTCCCAGCTACTAGGGAGGCTGAGGCAGAAGGATTGCTGGAGTCCAGGAGTTAGAGGTTGCTGTGAGCTAGGCTGATGCCACGGCACTCTAGCCCAAGCAACAGAGCAAGACTCTGACTCAAAAAAAAAATATCAGTTTTGCCCAATATTCTTTTTTTTATTCTATTTTTGTTGCCACTTGAACTCAAAGTTTTGCCCAATATTCATACTTTCTGCTGAACTAAAGTGCATACCAGTCTCCAGAAGAGGAGAAATGGGCAGAAATTTGTAAAATAGTGAGTAGCGGTCATGGGAGGACCAGGCTACAAAGAGAACACACCAGACCTTTTGGGTACTGCTGCCTCGGTGAGGAAGGATATCTAGGACCCACAGATCCAGCATCCCCAGATTGCCTCACTCACTGACTAAACAAACTTTTTTAGTTTGCAGATTTTGGTGGGGGATGGGTAAGGAGTATTAGAAGCTTTCTTTATTTAAATAACAACAATAACAAAATTTGATTAAATAATGTCCCATATAATTAAAGAATTAAGTTTCCATTTAAGCATAATTTGAATTACCCAATTTACCCTCTTTCAAAAGACTCCAAACATTTCACCTTATTATTCCTTTGAAGAATTACAAAGTAGAGCAGGGAGCAAAAATAACCACTAATAAAGAATAATAGCAATCTGGCAGCAGATGTTCTTGGTTTCATCAAAAGAATGACTGGTAAATTCAGTCTTATGAATACTAAAGAAAGTTTCTTGAAAACTCGTAATAGATCCTTTTGGTGCTTCCTGAAGTGGATCAATACATTGGGGTCTGGATTTAAATTTCAAATAAAGCCAGTGAGTGCACATTAATTATATCCCACCTGGCTTAGATCAGGTCATTCATTTTCCTCCAGAATTGAGCTGGAATCCATCTCTTTCAATTTTGTCTAATCGCACTTGATGGGGAGTAATAAAGGCCTGGAGAAATAAGCCAGCTTGAAGTCACCTTCATCAACAGTGTCTTTGTCTTTGCAGCCACAAGTAGATTCTTAAGCGTAATGCAAGCCACATAAGTAATTTTAAATTTTCTAATAGCCACATTAAAAAAAAAAGTAAAAAGAAACAAATGAAATTAGTTTTGTGATATGTTTTATTAATATTTAACCAATAATAACCAAAATATTGCAACATGAATCAATACCTAAAAATTATTGAGATATCATGCATGCTTTTTTTCCCATTAAGACTTCTAGGGGGGCAGGGAGAAAAAAAAAAGACTTCTAAATCATCTGTGTGTTTTGCACTTACAGCATCTCTCAATTCAAACTAGCTGTATTTCAGTGCTCAATTGGCCAGAGTGTTAACACAGTGTGCTTAAGGAAGCAGCTGGAGGTGACCTTGTGATAGCAAAGCAGAAGTCTTCATCTGTCAAACCAGAAGTTTGAGCTTTACTCTAAGGGATAGGGGAGCCATAAAAGGATCTTAAGCAGAGAAGTGACATTTAATTTTGAACTTAACCTAATAGCCTCAGGGAATATAGGTTAGAGGGGAGAGATTTAGGAGAGGGCGCTCAAGCAAGAAGCATGTTAGAAGGCTGCTGTTGTGGTCCGGATGAGGAGTGATAAGAATGGAACTAAAATACTACAGGGACCATGGACCAAAAAGGAAGCAAGTCTGAGAGATTTAGGTGGTAACATCATCAGGATTGGATTTGAAGAGAGGAAGATGGTGTAATCTAAGATGGTTGTCAGTTTTCTGCCGTGGGTAGTTAGGGCAAAAATGGTAGTATGAAGTGAAATGGGGGGAGATGAGTTCAGCATGGGGCATGTTGACTTTGAGGTGCCTTTAAGACAGGCAGGTGTGCATGTCTAGTTTTACATGACGAGTCTGCTCAAGAACTTTCAAAGAAGCTAACAAGGCTCAGTAGGAACACTTAATACCTAAGCTGCCAAATGAAAACCGTAGGCAATAAGAAGAAGTTAGAAAGTCAAAGAGGGTAGAAGAGGCAGCAGAAATGTGGAGAGGTAAGAACATATTAGCATGTTTAATTGACATTGTGAATAAACCTGTCCTACTGGGCCAGATAGGATTAAGGCTGAGATCAAAGCTGGCCTAATGCAGTTTGCAGACATGTTTTGTTTAGCTTTTGTAGGGTTGGATCACACAGTATTCTAAATTTAAGTACCAGCATTTCTACAGGAAATCCAGATTTCTGATTTTTCTTTAAAATAAAAGGTGGCTGGCAGTTAGATCTGACAACATTGGTAGTCATGTATGGTAATAATCCCTGAAGGGTGTGCCCTTTCTCTCCAGTGAATCCATTTTAATCCTTTATGTTATTTGGTTAGGCCTTATAGAAATGTGAATTTTCTATTTTTGAGCCAAGGATCAGTAGGTAATAAAAGTACAAAGATAGATTAGCAACAGATTATGGAGGGTTTTGAATACCAAACTAAGGAGTGTAAATGTAGGCAGTGGGCAACCTTTGAATAAGGAATTGATGAGATTAAAGCCATATTTAGGAGGATTATTCTAGACTAGTGTGAAAATATAGCCACTTATTAAATGATTCAATTTATATGAAATGTCCAGAATAGGCAGAGCCATGGAGAAAGAAGGTAGATTAGTGGTTATCAGGGGCTGGGGGAAGCAAGACCGGTTAGGGAGAACGTTTACTAGTTTTCAAAGAGAAGAAAGAAAGGAGACAGCGTTGAGATAAACAAATAGGCTTAAAAAATGCAAAATGAAAGTGTCTTACGCAGATGTCATCCAGAAAGACTACTCACTGCCATGTGGGAACCATATGGGCCATTGAACTTGGTGGGAAATTTGCTTGCAGACTTCCAGAACTCAGGCTGATGTTTGATGTGGAGGACAATGATTATTAGGTATTATGGAAAAGTCGAACAAAATATGCTTACTTACTGGTTATCAATGGCCCACAGGTGACTATAGGCACTGTTCTAAGTAGACTGTAAATGGAGGGGAAAGGTCTTTTTAATAAGAGACTAAAATTAACATCTGAGTATTATTAACTGTGTGCCAGGCACTATTCTAAGCTTTTTACACGATATTTTATTTAATCTTCATAACCACCCTCTGAAGTAGGTATTATTGCAATTTCCATTTTATAGATAAGGAAACTGAGACCCTAGAGGTTAAGAACTTACCCAAAGTCGCAAGGCTGATAAAGAGGGAACCAGAACTTGAAGCAAGCAGTCTGACTCTCCAGAGGCTTGTCATCTTTTTTTTTTTTTTTTCCGAGACAGAGTCTCACTCTGTTGCCCTGGCTAGAGTGCCGTGGCGTCAGCCTAGCTCACAGCAACCTCAAACTCCTGGGCTCAAGCAATCCTTCTGCCTCAGCCTCCCGAGTAGCTGAGACTACAGGCATGTGCCACCGTGCCCGGCTAATTTTTTCTATATATATTTTTAGTTGTCCAATTAATTTCTTTCTATTTTTAGTAGAGACGGGGTCTCACTCTTGTTCAGGCTGTTCTTGAGCTCTTGAGCTCAAACAATCCGCCCGCCTCGGCCTCCCAGAGTGCTAGTATTACAGGCGTGAGCCACCGTGCCCGGCCCAGAGGCTTGTCTTTGAACTGTGTTAAATTGCCTCTGAATCTTTATTTGTTCTCACATGGGCAACTGCATAGGTAGAGAACATTATGCTTTCATCCTGGAAGCTCTAGTATACTTATTTCAGGGCCATCAATTTGGTTCACGTCCTCCTAGAAGAAATGAAACTCAAGAATTGACCCTTTAACTGTCTCTCAGAAGTAGATAATGTGCTAGGTCCTTGGGTGACCTTGAGAGAACAAGGCTGTGGTGTGTTCAGAGGTTCTGTTCTCTTCCTTTAGCTAATGGCTTAATGTTAGCTTATCAAGTGTGTGCTGGTAACCCTTTATTGGGAAAACTCCTATTTCTTTTTATGTGAGCTAGATCATATTAGATTTTGTTCATATATTTTCATGAAAAATTACCACAGAATAAATTTTATAATTACTTCAATTTGGAAGGGGGTGAGAGTCCATAACATTGTAGAAAAACAAAGGCATTTGATGCATAGCCTCAAACCGTGTCAAGTTTTCCTACCATATATATTATGGTTTCCTTCTCTTTGGTCTACAGATGAAACATGTAAAGGAAAGATTTCAAGATGAAAAAAATAAAGAGGTGGTTCTCATGTGTATTGGCATCACTTCAGGAGTTGGACGACTGCTCTTTGGCCGGATTGCAGATTATGTACCTGGTGTGAAGAAGGTTTATCTGCAGGTACTTTTTTATACCTTTTCCCTAACAAAATTATTCTTATTACCTAATGGCTCATTAAATATACTTCTATGCTTAAATTTTTTTATAAAAATAAGAAACATTTTCTAGAACATAACTTCTACAAGCAGTTTTTCAAGGACAAAATCAGTATGAGTTTAGGTTTTAAACATGAGAAATTGGCAATGAAACAACAGTCTTCTTTGTTTTGTTGTAGAACTCCAGCAAACCAAAATGGTTTTTGCCCATTACTTTTTCTAAGAATGTTTTTTGGCATAGTTCTCATAGTCATGTGCAGATCCTGTGCCTTTTGTAATGTCTTATGAAATTTGGGTGCATGTGTAACTTTTGAGCTTCTTTATTGAAAATTACCCCCTTGGGTGTTGTGGGGTGTGCATAAAAATATGCTAATTCCAAGATCATTACTGATACTTATTCAACAGAACAGGTATTTAAGTGACTCCTTCATGCCAGATACTGTGCTAAATGCTGCAGAGTTAAATGAAACATGGTCTGTGCCCTCAGTTACTAGCTAGTAATCTCTTAGGAGACAAATACTAAGCAGTGTTGCAGCACAGTGAAATAATGAGTGTGCTAGGTGGTGCCATGGAAGCAGAGGCACCCAGCTTCTGAATCACTTAGTGAGGTCTGAGCAGTGTTAAGAGGTGAGGACTAGGTATGTAGATAAGGAAGATGGAGAAAGATGCTCCAAGCAGAGGAAACCATACGGGCAAAGACGTGGTAGTGTCAATATGGGATGTTATGTCCGGGAAACCGAATGTTCGAGTGAAATAAAGGGAGAATAGTAGATGGATTGGTTGGGGGTACAGGCAGGAAGCAGATTGGCAAGGGCCTTTACATACATAAAAGAGGATGAACTCTATCCCGACATCTACCAGGAGCCATTAAAGGATTTTAAGCCAGGGATTAACATGAGTTGTGTTGTATGAAGATCAATCTGGAAACTATGAAGGGTGGAATGGCGTGGAGGAGGGGGCAAGAGTTGAGATAGTCACAAAATGCCACATATTAAATGATTCCATTTATGTGAAATGTCCAGAACAGGCAGAGCCATGGAGAAAGAAGGTAGATTAGTGGTTATCAGGGGCTGAGAGGAGGAAAGAATGGGGAGTAACTGCTACTGGGTATGGGGTTTCTTTGTGGGGTGAGGAAAATGTTCTAAAATTAGATAGTGGTGATGGTTGCCCAATGTTGTGAATGTACTAAAACCCACTGAATTGTATACTTTAAGTGGGTGAATTTTATGGTATGTGAGTTATATGTCAACAAAGCTACTATTTAAAAAAGAGTGGAGACACAGGGACTAGTTGGAGACTATTGAAGTAGTCTAGGCAGAAAGAACCAAGGGAGCAAATAGAGTAAACAAGGGATACAGAAGATGAGACTTTGATGGAGCCACTTGAGCTGGATCTGAGATTTGTGGCTTGGGTCTAACAGAGTAGATGGTTTTGCTATCTTACCAAGATTTATAATTCAGTAAATCCACATAGGATGATGAGTTTATTTTTGCCATGTTAAGCTTCTGGTGTCTGTGAGAAAGCCAAGTTGAGTTTGGAGCTCATGGGAGAGTCTGGATAAGAGACCTGTGAGACATGGGCTATATGGGGTGAGTGGAGGACTATAGGCTTCCAAGGGAGACTGAAGGGAGTAGCCAGGTTGGTAAGAAAAAAAAAGGGAGTAGAATGTTTCTAGGAGCAGGAGTGGTCAGCAGTGTCAGTAGCTAGTGACAGGAAGACTAAAATTTTTCCATTGGATTTAGCAACAGGCCATTAGGGATCTTACAGAGAATGGTTTCAGTGGAGTGTGAGGTGCAAAAGACTGATCATGATCAGTTGAACAAGTGGAAATATAGAAACTTTGTCCAAAAGGTTGGCTGTGGAAGGGAGGTAAAGGAGAGCCACATGGGGGTATTCAAGATTGAGAGATTAAGCATGTCTACCTCTTAGAGAGGAAAGGCAGTATTTGAGCAGGGTCTTGAAAAATAGGTGAAATTTTAGCACAGTAAAATGATTGCCCCGGCCCTTTAAGGGAGGTACCGTCATTATTTCTACTTATAATTTTTTTTTCTTTTTTATTTATTTATTCTTTTTTTTAATTTTTTTTTTTTTTTTTTTTGAGACAGAGTCTCACTGTGTTGCCCGGGCTAGAGTGCTGTGGCATCAGCCTAGCTCACAGCAACCTCCAACTCCTGGACTCAAGCGATCCTCCTGCCTCAGCCTCCCGAGTAGCTGGGACTACAGGCATGTGCCACCATGCCCGGCTAATTTTTTCTGTATATATATTTTTAGTTGTCCAGATCATTTCTTTCTATTTTTTAGTAGAAACGGGGTCTTGCTCTTGCTCAGGCTGGTCTCGAACTCCTGACCTTCAACGATCCACCCGCTTCGGCCTCCCAGAGTGCTAGGATTACAGGCGTCAGCCACCGGTCCGGCCTTTTTTTTCTTTTTAGAGACAGGTTATCACTCTGTCACCCAGGTTGGAGTGCAGTGATGCGATCATAGCTCATTGCATCCATAAACTCCTGGACTCAAGTGATGCACCCACCTCAGCCTCCCGAATAGTTGGGACTATAGGCATGTGCCACCATGCCCAGCTGATTTTTCTTTTTTTTTTTTTTTGAGACAGAGTCTCATTCCGTTGCCCGGGCTAGAGTGCCATGGCGTCAGCCTAGCTCACAGCAACCTCAAACTCCTGAGCTCAAGCAATCCTCCCGCCTCAGCCTCCCAGAGTGCTAGGATTACAGGTGTGAGCTACCACACCCGATTATTTCTGCTTATAGATGTGAATGCTGAGGAACAGAGAAGCTACCTTACTATGGGTATCTGTGTGTGTGTAGGTCCAGGCAGACTGTCACAGGAAAGCATCTGTTCACACAGCTAGAAGGAATTGTAGACAGTTGGTAGTGTGGTACTTTTGAAATGTATTTATTATATTATGATCATTCCCTCTTTTATCAATACCTCACTGTGGATATCCTTGTCTAACATTTAGCTAAACATTTATAGGCTTGTTCTCAAGTGCCAAGGGAGCCCTCTGATGCACATTTGTTGCATTACAGATTGTCAGCTTCCTTTTTATTCATTCAAAAAATTATGAGGACCTCCTGTGCCCCAAGCACCAGCCTAGACCCGCCAGATACCAACAAGACAGACGTGGTCCCTGAGTTCCTAAAGCAAGACTGAGAGAGAAAAAGCTGGGTGTGTTTGAGAACTCAAGGAGACAGAGAGAGTGACATGGGAAGAGACTGGAAAGCTAGGAGGGGCCAGATTATACAGGGCCTTGAAAGCCAAGATGAAGAGATTTTGCTTTAAGTGTAGTGGGCCTTTATTGGAGAATGTCAGTCTGATTTTGCATTTTAAAGTCACTGTGTTTGCTCTGTATGTGGAAGATGGACTTCAGGGAGGGAAGCAAGAGTACAAGAGGGGAGGAAGACCAGCTGGGAGACAATACAGTGGTGCAGGTGATGGAGGCCTGGACTAAGGTGCTATAATGGATGAAGTCATGATACATTTTATACATCAATGTTTTACTTCAAAACAACTTTTGAAAGTTTTCCCCCTGCAAATGGGGCAAATAGGTCATTTGCAACATTTTGGGAGTGCATTTTAATACTCGAGTATTTCAAGTAATTTACAAAAGAAAATATAGCCTTTCCTAACTTGTCCCATGTTGGTCTGCAGTTACAAAGCAGTAAGTTAAAAGTCAGTATTGTGGGTCAGATATTTCATTTTGGATCAAAGTTTAGCCACAACCTGGCTTCTTTTAAGTCTTATCTAATTTTTTCGTCTGAATGTAGCGCAGTGTTGGGGCACCCAGCCGTATATGCTGAGTCACAGGTGTGATGGCTGCATTTCAGACAGGCCTGTGAAGGAGTAAGAAAGTCTTCAGTGTGTCCTGTGACGGCTGGGAGCCCTGGGTAGACTCCACCTTGAGAACACAGTGGCACAGGAGACACACAGGCCAACCCATGCAGGGTACTGGACTCACTCCCATAGTCGCTCCCCTCTGCCTCTCCTTTTTCCTGGCTTCCCTGCCCCAACTTCCCAAACACTCAGTGTGGTTTTTGATTCTTGGCTCTTTCTTCTCTGCTACAACCGACTCTAGCTCTGCCTGTTTGTTCATTCCTCTTTCTCCCTCTCTGCCTCCCTGGCTGTCTGCCTTTTGGCCCAGCCTTTAAGGGTTGGAATGTTCTTCTGCTTACTTTCCCTTCTTCCCTTTCATTGGTAGTGTGTTTTCTCAGATGTAACCATTCCCTGCTTTTGACTATTATAGCCCAACCACATGGGGCTGTGACAGTTCTCTTCCCTCCTTGTCGCCTTGAAGCCATTTCTGAGTAGCAGCTGGGCCTAGAACACTGGTGACACAGACACTTTTTTCACAACCCTCCCACATGATCTAGTTTCGGATCACAGTCATCCCCAGTTTGGGAGGCTGCAGAGCAGAAGAGCACAGGCTCTGGAGTGAGACACCAGTTTACTCCAGTTCTACCACCAACTTGTGTTCAAAACCGACATCAGGCTGTGGTGAGGATTCTTGATGACAGCTTATGTAAAGTACTTGGTCCAGGCTGGATGATTAATAAATGCTTGCTTTATTATGTTTTAATATTCTGTTAAATACTTAAGGCCGATCCTGATTTGGAATCGGTCTCAAGAAAGGAGACCTAGTTATCCTGAATCAGAGTCTTTGCTTATAATTCAAAACAAATTTTTTTTTTTTGTAGAGACAGGTTCTCACTGTGTAGTCCAGGCTGGTATCCAACTCTTGGCCTCAAGCAATCCTCTTGCCTTGGTCTCCCAAAGTGCTGGGATTACAGGTGTGAGCCACTGTGCCCGGGCCCTAGAGTCTTTGCTTATAGATAACAGAGTTTAGGAATATATCTGACACTTTTTTTTTTTTTGAGACAGAGTCTTACTCTGTTGCCCAGGTTAGAGTGCCATAGCATCAGCCTAGCTCACAGCAGCCCAACTCCTGGGCTCAAG